TGTCCGAACAATAAATTCATAGTTAAATTGGGGTCGAAATTCGTAAAAAATAAATCCCCATTGTTGTTTAGAAGAACTCGTGTTTATCTCTTTGGGATTTAACCATTGTTTGGTACCATGTTTAATATTTTATTGATCCCATTGTTGCGGAAAGGGATTGCGATTTCTTGTTTTCTCAAGTGTTCGTCTTTTGCTATTTTTAATCTGTTAAAATTGCGTTTGTATTATCTGTGCTCGTCTATAGGCTGCCGTTTTTATTTCTTCGCGGTTTTTTAAATTGACCAATTGTTAGACGAACAGACTTTTCGTATATTAAAAATCTAATTATAGTTTGATAATATGCTTAAGAGATGGTTTAATTTTAAAAATAAATAATCATTTTGAACTATATTATAATAAACCATAAGATGTTAGATTGGAAAACAAAAGACAACATCGCAGACACGTACTTATGCTAGTGAATTTAGTATTGTCTGTAGTCAACAAGTTGTGACTACTGAATATAAACACTTTTAATGATTCCGCGACACATAATAAACAATTTATGTATCTTATAATACAACCCGAACTAGCGCCTAGTTTAATTTAAGTCAAATCTTACTATGGGACAGAAAAACCTGTTTATTTTTTAACATTAAATTTTTTTTGCCTTACTTTTTTAAAACTTAAGAGACATTACATGATATTCAAACCTTTTATACGAGTAATATCTTTAGTTTACGCAAGCTCTACACATTAAAATAAAACACTTTAACCGTTTAAAACGCGAAATTAGTTTTTCCGTCGACGTTTCCCAGTGACCATGGCTGTCGCCAAGCAATCCGTAAGGCCGTAGTTGAAATAATTTGTAAATAACTTATACATTACGCGTTTTAAATCATTAAGTGTTTTATTGAAATGTCTATTACTCGTGTAAACTACAGACAGTACTTAATAAGTTAAATAGTATATTTCGCGTTTTAAACAGTTTAAAGTGTTTGTGTTAAAATATGTACTACTCGCGCAAACCACAGACACTACCTTATAAGTTAACTAATACATTGCGCGTTTTAAATATGATTTTTTTAGTATATGAAAAAATGTTACCACTTATCAAAGTTTATACCCTCCCAGCGGAATATAAAAGCCTTAATACCGATAATTAAAGGCATCTAAAGTAAAGCGTATAATGTTTTAATAATTAAAATAACACGGTTTAGCCTCAGGGGAAAACTTTTCCGTGTCGACGCCTCTCTCCACCCTCGAGGGATTTTGTATTTGGGAGTAGAGTTTTTATTTTGCTTCACTAATTCTTATTTTTATTAAGTAATTTATTTTGCGAAGTTTCCGTTGGAGTTTGATAGGTGGGGGTTCATGAGGATAAGAGGAGAGTAAATAAATAAGTTTAAATCGTATGTTAGACAAATCTGCTTGGAAAGGGTTATTATGACGTTAATCAACACTTAAACTCTAAAAATGAAAAGGTTTGGAGGAACAACTCTAACAAGAAACAAAATACGTGCACATAAAGTAGGTGGTAGGAAAGTAAATTTAGAGTGTTTAGTTTTTAACAGGTGTGACGTTCATAAGAGTGGCTAGTTACCTACGTGAATAAAAGATTTTTAACTTGAAATGACTGTAACATAAAATTTCTCGTGCCCACAGAACACTGCAACGTTTGATAACGATTTGTTTTGATTCCCAAATAATTCAAATAAAGAAGTTTTAAATTTAAACTTTCGAGTATTTTTTCAAATGTATGTAACTGCTTATGTCTTGTGTTCCAAACACAATTCAATTAGGCAAAGAACGACCGATTTACTAAAGATAAACGAAATTACTGGAAATAAATATGTATATAAATATTGTGTTTAGAAAATCGCTAAGGCTAGAATCTTTATATGTTATATATGTAAGTCTAAGAAGTGTCGGTGGAAAAAAGCTTACTTTATCTCGTAATAAAAATCTTAATTGGATTGTTTTATAGGTTTATATATCAAAATTCCGTTCGATTTTAAAAATCATTGTACGAGCTATAAATGGGACAATGTAAATAATTATAAAATACCTACTTATATCCCTAGTTATTAAATATCACTAAATGCGTAGTAGACCTACCTATATGTTGTATCATATTATTTTTCAAATGATAGGGAAATCCCATAGTCCCCTAGTGTGGGGCATGGGGCGACCACACTTCTATGTTCGTTTCACTAATCGGTTTTATTTACAGGCTAGTAATTGATCAGACTTTAGTGCCCTGCTCAAACGAAACAATCTATTGTTTCTCCGGACTTCGAACCCAGGATCCCTGGTGCTTAACGTAATGTTAGGCAACGTGGTTTATCATTTAGCTACAAAGGCGGATTTATATGATAGACGATAGTAGGGGTCACCTGAAGATGAATAATAATGAAGTACCACAGTCATGTGAAATCTACTTAAATTATCGACATATCTTGGGTGAGGGCGTTTGGATTCTTTCTTTCGTTTTTTATTTTTATTTTTAAGACATAATTTGTATTGTTATTCAATACCTGCGTTTATTTTAACTAGTCGCGTAATCGAAGAATCGTTATTTTGGGCATTCTAATTTGTTTTTGTAAACCTTCATATTAATAAATATATACTGTAACCCATGACGTCGGTCGTGCCCCGTCGTTCTTGCACGTTAATCTTAAAATATGAACATATGGTTTTGCAGACATTTTTTTAAATTCAGTTATAGACTTTTTTTCCACATTTCCCGCTCTCGCTCCTATTAGTCACAGGCCACGCTTTATACAGCCTTCCTCGATAAATGCTCTAACACAAAATATTTTTTTCCAATTGGGACAGTAGTCCCTGAGATTAGCGCGTTCAAACAAACAAACAAATTCTTTAGCTTTATATATTTGTATAGTTAACAACGATAATGTTAAATTAAACCACATTATATAATCACAAGGCAGGAAAAGTCGAACTGAATTTTCACCACCACATTTTTTTATCTAAAACCAAATACTCCCATGGGTAGAAGCGATCACATATAGGTTTAAATTAATACGGAGTCAAAAACAAAACACTTTGATTAATGGCATTACAAAGGAGGTACAATATATTAGGGGCGGCGTGGCTTTGACAGAAGGGTGGTAAGAAAACGTGGGGTGTTCGGGGGTGGTGGAAAATGTAAGCGGTAGCGAGTTTTTTTTTGCATATAATTTCTGCTATGCGCGTCTCGACTAACAAACGCATAAAAAAATAACATGACTTTTGGCCTATCCAATAAATATCCGTTATTACACAATGGATGTAAATTTGTTTAGTACTTTTAAGCAAAAGTACTGTTTATATAAAACACTTTTAACCGTTTAAAACGCGATATATATTAGTTAACTTATTGACTAATAATGTTCACTACGGGCCGAGGTATTGGATGCTTTGCTGCAGCCGTAGTCACGGGGGTTACTAAAGGAGGATGCTCTTTAAGCTAAAACAAAATCTTCCACGCTAGTGCGATCTATTTTATTGTTTTTGCTATTAGTAGAAATATATTTCAAAGTACATTATATAATTTATTAAAACCGAATAAATATTGTGTTCGCGGGCTCGCTAGTGTAATGGTAGTAATAAATCGCTCATAATCAACGGGTCTTACGTTCAAACTCTACCGGGTCCAACATTTTTATTAACAATTTACAATTTTTCTGAAATATGTTGTAAACTTCATTTATCATTCTAGATATTAAAAGGGTGGTAGAAATATGAAAATTTTGTTCCGATTACGAACCGCAGCCCACAGATAAGTAAACTGTCAAGTTTAATCACGTTTCAGTTTGAGTCTGTGGATTTTCGAATATGCAAAGCCAAAATAAGTTGACAAAGCATCCAGTTTACATTTTATAAGGCTGAGCTATTGAATCCGTATTTACTACGAGTTCTACGATATTTAGGGAGCGAACGCCGACGTCACTCCTTTCATCGCTACCTGAACAATACCGCGATCAACTTATGCCTTGGGCCGCAAAAACGATCGAGATTTGAGATACGCTTGTATTTGTAATGGTTATGCGATTAGGGCGTTTAACGATTAGCGCCGTTAGATAGAGACGTCTTGACTTAATTGAATGATTTCGGAAAAACGAATTTCATTGAATTAATAAGGGCCATTGTTATATGTTGAAGAGGCTCTCATATTTAATGATTATAATGAGATTTGTATAGTTGACTATTGTATTCGTTCTGAAAACAAAAAAAGGTTATGTAAAATTGTTCGTGTCGCGGTCGTACCGATTATTTTTAATTTTCCTACGCTACGGTGCAATTTTTCTTTGTGTGTTTGAGAATAAGTGACCATCTATATTTTATTCTATCACTGATGGAAAATGTCAATCAGCTGAGTCTAGGTCGACCTGTCGCTCATTGTCAACATAAGTTTAAATCTATTTTAGATTTAATTAAAAAACTTTAATGGTTTAAAACGCGATATACATATTTTAGTTAAACTTCACGGGGAGCCCCGTGACCACGGCCGATGCAACGAGCCGGGCCGTAGTTAAAAATAAGTTTAAGTAAAATATATCGCGTTTTAAACTGTTAAAGTATTTTATTTAAATGTGTACTACTCGCGTAAACTACAGACAGTCTCTATTTTTAGATTTAACGAAACTAACGGGACTCGAACTTACGATTAGGATCTTCCGTGGCCCGCCTGTATTCGTTATTTACATCATTTTTTCTCCCTTTGTTTCACACATATCAGAATATAACTTAACGTTCTTACCATTGACACGGACGGGACTTAAACCGGCATCCACATCGTTCCGTGCTGCGCTGCTTTAACCAATTGTGTTGGTCTTAGATCTATAAAGATTTTTAATTACTATAATGTCATCATGTCGAAACGGTGAAACGTATTAAAGTTTACAAACCTCGGCTTTTTATTATTATTAGTTAATATAAAAAAAAGTATTTTATTATTTTTTTTGTGCAATTAAGAATAAATAAATACAAATACTATTTCCACAGATTACCGGCAACCAATGATTGGCCACCCCTGGCCGATCGCAAAACCAATTGCCAGCAGACCCATACCAGTGCAGCATCAGCACTTGCAGCATTTATTGGCGCATTGTCACCATCCTTATTTAGCAGGTAAACAATTATAATAGAGATACTTACTATCTTACTCTTCATCTGTCAATTCTGTAAAGATCAAGAATTCTTCGATAAAGTCGATCAGACTTTTTAGTTTCAGGTCTTCCTCTACTTAATAGATTAATCTTCTTTAAAAAATAGGTTTATTTTAAAAACAGAAGCAGAAGCAGAACACGTTTGTCTTATAAAATTTTATCATATCTTTTTTAATAGACATTGAAATACAGATCTTTATTTTAATTATTTATTTAAATGTGTACACTTTACAATTCGTATCTCAAGAGTAGCTGTTAGCAAATTGCCTGGTAATTTAAATAAAGCTAGATACTACACTAGTCATAAAAATGTAAATTTAGTATTTTAAATCATTAAAAATATTGTTGCAGTACGGCCGTCCCAAGCGCACACGCAAGTTTTCCCTTTACCCGGCGGATTTCCATGGGCGCATAGTTCTAGAGGTAAGTGTGGCAAATTCCACTATGTTGGACAAGGACACATGATCGATTATACCTACAAGTGGTCACACTTCTTCTTGTCCTGCTTAACGAAAACTTTAGATTTCATCTTATGCCTATTCATGTAACCGACAATCTATTTGAAAAAACGATAAGTTATTGAAGTACTTAACCTCTATCGGGTAGAATGCGTTTTTTTGTTCAATATTAGCCTGGGACTGTATGAAGAATTGTTAGGAATATTTTGTATTTCCCCTTCCACTTATTTATGTTTTAATCTGAAAACATTGATAGTATTACTTATTATGAACACATTTTTGATAAAGGACGGACAAACACGAGGTTTACTTGATGGTAGGCGAAATACCTCACCCATATAACGTCTCAACAAGTCAATATACCTATTATGGCTTAGATAAGTTGGAAATCCACAGATTCACACGGAAACGCGACTAACGCGCTTTCTCATCTGTGGACGGTGGTGTGTGAGGCGAACTATATTTTTACCATCCACTTATTCCTGATCCAGATTTTCTGACGAGATTTAGCAAGTTTTAGAAATTATAAATTGATTAGGAAAGTGTTGCACGGTGCACCCGGTGGGGGTCTAAGCTACGACCCGTTGATTATTATACATTGCTACATATTGATTTTGTAACAGGCAAGCCCCGTCGGGGTATGATGCGACGGGCAGTGTTCTCAGACCTACAAAGAAAAGGCTTAGAGAAGAGGTTTCAAGTCCAGAAGTACATATCTAAGCCAGACAGGAAGAAGCTGGCTGAAAAATTGGGACTTAAAGATAGCCAGGTAATATTTAGCTTAAGAAATATATATAAAATTGGGTCAACGAATTATTTCTCGCCTAATTTTAAACCAATTACACCAAATCAGTAAGTAATGAGATGAAGGCAGCAGAAAATAAACATTAATTCATAACATCACTATTTACATAAAAAATAGTCATACATGTGTATATAAGCACATTTAGGTATTTATTTAGCCACAATTAAAGCTTTTATTAAAATCATATAATGTACAATAATACGTAGCTACAATTACTGATTCAGTTTTTAAAGTAGATATAACACCTTTTTCTAATATCAAAGACGCATAGCTCTTTGATTCGTACATGGTATTAAATTTGGTCATAACTTAATTTAGTTAAAAATATTTTTTTTCATTATGTTCTATGATTATTATCAGTCATATAGATATATATATATTTAATCTGTGGTTTTTTACTCAGTGGTCCACAGTCATTTGACAGTTGACTGCAAGAACTGACGTATCGACTTTTTAAATCGACCGCAAGAGGCAAAGGTATCAACAAAAAGCTCTTTAATCTAACCCGAATATCACTCGAAATGCAAATATCGAGTTAGCATCGAGTAATTGTTTAAGCTTGGGGCGGCACAATCCCCACGGCTGCGGATGACAGACCCCTCCTATTACCCTTAGGGTAGCAATTTTTTTGTAACACCCTGTGTTACTCCCCTAAGTTGCCGCCGCGAGTAGGGTAACCATTTCAACCGTGCATGGACAAAACCTGAGAGAAACATTCGTTACACAGGGAAAGGCAACCTTGAATGTTAAGCTGACACCATTACAATTATTTTAGGTCGACAACATATCATTTTCATATGTGATATGGCGGGGATTTTCACGATATAGTTATACCTATTATTTTTCTAAATTAACTAGTCTGTAAAAACTTAAAAAAAAAGTTTTAGTGTATATATAAGTCTGCATAGTAACAACACAAGATAAAACGCGAAGCATAAAATACTGCTGCTTTCGCTCGTAGTTAATATATTGATGAATACTTGCTTAAAAGTTTATGTGTCAAGGCATAAGCTAGCTTTTACAAATATAGTAAAATACATACCTAGTTTCTTCGTGTACGGAGCATGACTTACAAATAAACTAGTATGGTTTTAGCAAAATAATGGTAACAGTGGGTAATTTAAAGCTTTGAAAAAGTAAAAAAAAAATATATGCTATAGTTACTAACAATATAATTAAAATTAACATTAGTGAAGTCTTTAAGGAAAATAGATGAAAAACCATAGTTTATGGTAACCCTACTCGATACTCAGTTTATGTCGACTATTTTTCATATTTGGTTTTTCGTTTATGATTTCTTCATAGCAATTCTTATTTTAGGTATGCTTTTAAGTGACAGAATGCCTCTGGACGTTTTTGAGAGCTTCAAAAGACTCTGTAAAGAAAAAGGTTTCTATGTACCTACTACCTACGTTGTCGGTAAATCATTATTCACGTTACCTACAAGTTATAGAGACAGAGAGCCAGGGTAGCCTAACTGTTTTATGACTCGTCTTATTTATATTTGTATAGTCTAAAATGTTAATCTACAAGATCGCAATGGCCAAAAGTTAAAAAATTATAAATAGTAGAAATTATTTTCGCTTAAGTGGATTACCCATTTTTATTGAAAATTATGTTATTTTCATAAGGCCACTCTGGCTCTAGCAGCCTCATATATTAAATAGCCCTTTTCTCCACACGTCTTAGAAAATAATCTAAATGTATAGATATAATTTCCATTTATCTTTGATTTACCAAATAACCTAGTATTTTTAAATTCCATGTAATGCCGAAATAATCTCATAAACATTTAACTAAAAGGGCGGGAAATTAATAACACTGAGGGGAGGACTAATTGGCGGCGTTTATCGTAAGATTTCCAAAGCATAGGGGATAGATAACATATTCCACAGATTATGTAGCTTCACTCTATTGTTTATTGTCGTGGTTAATCTGTGCTTGAAGAAATCTCTAGAACGAACTTAACTTGAATAATTCTTCTTCTTAGTTTGATGGCTTTCAGTTTGGTTTGAATTATACCGTGATAAACAATAACATTTTAAAGATAATATCAAATATTTTTCATAAATGACACCGCTATTTCATATTCAAAAGTACCAACATGTATCTGCTCATTTAAGTAGTACCTATTCTATAAAATGTACCTTTTATGTCGTCAATTGTTGGAACTTTTATGTTTTAGTTTTTACACTTAAACAATATTTAAACTATGAAAAGTTACCTTATTTTTTTTTTATTTTAATTATTGCCCGACGTTAGAATTGCCCTATCCATAGTCACGGGAAGACAATATTTCTCGGAGGAACAGGTATAATTCACCGTTGAAACCGTTAAAAGTGTTTTATTAATGGTATAAAAGGCAAATTGCAACAGAAATAATTTTTAAGTACACTATCTTATATTTAACTGAAATATATCTATTACTAGTTATATTTACAGAATTCATTAATGAAACATTCTTTGTAGTTAGGTATTTAACTTGATTGTTATAAAGTGATTCTATTACACAAACCCTCGACGAAATAAAGAAAATATGGTTAAAACGTAATAACCAGACATTCAAGCAATTGTGTCGACCTAATAAAAAGGAAATAGAAAAGAAATGGCGCGCGGAAAATACATTTTATATTATGCCATAATCGGCTCAAGGAGCCGCGACGGCCTCATCCATTTCTCTTAAGCGAGAAAGGGATAGCTGGAAACTGGTATTGCGTCTTAAAAATGCCGCGATTGGTCGATTTGTATCGAATAAAAGTGAATGCCGCGTTCCCATTGGTCGAAATGCTTTTATCTTTTTCTGTTTCCGTTTGGCATTAGAATTTTATATTTATAGCTTATTGCAGTTTAGTTGAAGAAAATTAATGCAATGGCATTGAAAACCTTATTGCGAATAAATTATGTTTATGGAAGTGAAAATTTTTAGCAATTCAATTGTATGTTGGTATGGTAATAGTTGTATAGGTCTGATTGGTATCTAAAAGGTATATTTATTTAATGTTTATTTGGTATTCCAGCTACATAGTATACATAGGTTAAACGTACTTAACACTAAACATTAGCCAAAACCGGATTACACAATTAGAAAAATACACTATAGTAAAGAGCGCAAAAAAGAATATGGTTAAAAATACATAAGCTAAATATAGAAGATATTCAAATATTTTATGATAAAGAACACAAAATTTAGAGAAAAAAAAACATTACGAGGACTAAATTTAAACAACAAAAGTCTACCAATCTACAAATTAAGTTGGCAGGGAAATAGATTAAATAATTTTAAATTCAATTTAAATTTTACATTATATTTTTATCATCCGTGCTGGATATTTTCTGACTGTGATAGCGTTTCATTTTATTAGCATCTTAATCATTTCATTTTGCTTACGCGCTTGACCCTGCCTCTGGAAAATCATTAGGTACATCCTATACAATAAATGGTTGTTACTAAAATCCGAATGCCGTCTGTCTCACGTCCACAATCGAAAAAACGAAAGCCAAAATACATTGACAGCGATTGCGGCAACTTTAATTGACAGTTATGGCATTTTCATCTTCCATCAAGTGAAAACTAAAGCCATGACTGTCCTTCTCTGTCGCGAGAACAGAACTAAGCTAGTTAGTTCACCTCAAAGTTTACAGACGGTTGATAAAATACAGGTAGAAGACATACCTAGTTTCAAAGAGATACGTTTCAACTGTGGAAACAGGGAGATAGTACGTTGACTTTGTATTATTACTCCGTTCTTATAGACAAATTAAATAACAAAAGTAGACACTGTGTAGACATTTTCTATTGTATGAAATCCGTGCAAATATAAAGTTAATAAAAATATTAGCATTATAGTATTTGCTCATTGCACTTTGCATCTCACATTGCAAAATAGTGCAAATAAAACAGGGTTAAAATTATTCTAATCGAACAATTTGCCTACGTAAATAGAAGTATTGCAATTCCGTGACGTAATATAAACAAACATGGCGCGCTGTCAATCAAAAACCGCGCCAACAAAAAGTTCCGAATTCAAAATAAATAAATGCAAATATTTGAAATTGGAACGCCGTGAATGTAAACGGTCCGCCGTTTGAATATTCATTCGAAATATGAATATTTCAAATTTTGGAGCGCGTCCGAAAATCAGATTCATTGGACGGTGGTAGATAATGGCGAGTTCTATGCAGTTCTGGTTTTATGCATTATTTATCAATAAAATTCCAGTTGTTTTTGTAATATGATTCGAAAACAATACTTAACGAATGATTTCCTATTTGAGAACCAGAAGTCAGACTTACTTATTCAACGCTTTCCTGTCATAGGTACCTAAATGTAACAATTCATCCATTTTACCATAAAATATACTATATATGAGGCTGTTAGAGGCAGAGTGGCCTAATAACAAAATACATGAATTTCAATAAGAAGGCAAATAAAAATGCCCGTATTAAATTAGGCGAAAATAAATTTAACTATTATTATTTATTTGTTTTACTCTGTGAATTCCACTCTTGTATATTAATATTTTTAGGCTATGAAAATATAAATAACTCAAGTCATAAAAATTGCATTTAGACTACATTGCCTCTAGAGGCATTTTTACCTAATTGTATGTATTTAACGTTATAACAACAATAATGATGCCATCATGAAAAACTAAAATTTCCTCAATCTGTATTGTACTTGCCCAATATCTGCAATGAGAGTATTCACGTCAAACGAAGGTCTACCCTCGTCTTGACCGAGGCCTGCGACTGCGACAATATGCCGCCAACAGCTGACGCACGGCCCTTTCGACTTACTAGTGATGTAACACAGTCGATAAACCGAAGATAATATAAATATGTTGAAATAAGTTTCAAAATCAAAAATAAATTTAAAACAAGTTTAACTACTATATATCGCATTTTATACCGTTGAAGTGTTTTATTTAAATGTGTTCTAAAGTATTTAATATAAATATGATTCTTGCTTAATGGTATATGTTACTGATGTAAGACTTACAGACCCTTAAGATGCCTGAGACTAAATATGCAAATATGTACTTACAACACAATATTTAAGTTATTTTGGGTGTAATGTAAGAGACTAGAAAAACATAGCAGGGTGTATAAATTTCCTATACTTTCATATCCATTCATTAATTTTTTGTAGAAGGGGAAAATATTTATCTTGAGAAAGGGTTAAAATATCAATTTTTCCTTCACATGACTACATTTACCGCTTTCCACGACGATCGGCGGTGCAAACGTCTACGCGAAAAGTGAAGTGACCATTTACGCAACTTTTTCGCAATCTTGAATGCTTTAGTATGACTCAATTAGTAACAATATTCAGTTCTAGTTCTTTAAATGAACGCATAGAAATTAGTCGCCGAAATGATTAAACACATGAATTATTGTATAACCTATGCCATAAAATCTGTACAAACACATATTTCAGAAGTCAACGATTATAACACTTAATTCTCACAATATAAAAAAAAAACAAACCTCTAAATATTGTACGTAAGTTATAAAAACTAGCGAATCTATCGTTTTGAAATAATATCTTATGCCTTGCACATCACTAAACTAGCAGGGGTGACACCGAGCAAGAATTAATTACTTTTTGACATATTCACTTTTATTACAATTTATACGAAATAAAGACGGGGAGACGGATTGTTAGGTCAGATGAATTGGATGCTATTACCATACTTATTTTAGATGTAATTAGATAGTTATCGTAGTATATTTAATTATAACAACGGGATTAGCTTAAAACTCTGACATACTAGCGACCCGACCCGGCTTTGCCCGGGTGCAATGCTGATACTAGATACACTACAGAAAAACTGTGAACGTTGTATGTATATAAAAACATTCCTATTGCATCACTCTATCTATTAAAAATAAAAAAAACCGCATCGAAATCCGTTAGGTAGTTTTATGGATTTGAGCGTAGGTACATAGGGACAGAAATAGCGACTTTGTTTTATACTGTGTAGCGACGTATTTAATCGATGTATATCATTTAAAATAACGTTCCCATTGATCTAGTGTTTAACACGGGGTTAACTTCGAATCGGAAGGTTTAGGGTTCGGACTCTTCGTCGTTCGTTAACTTGGACTATACCGGGATTCCTAGCTCTTACACCCCCTTTCCTACGGAACTAGACCTATGCCCAGGTTTGGACAATAAATACACTTTAAAAGTGGTTATATAATATTCATGAATTTGATTTCTTACATTACTTATACTACTGGCAGTGCCAGCGACTCCATTCGCATAGAATACTTATTTTGGGCATCGAAATTTGTGTTTCCAAACCTCCTTATTTATAAATTAATAGTTGTTACTCACGTCGGTTCCGTCCCGTCGTTTTTGCAAGGTAATCTTAAAAGATAGACATATACTGTCGCAGACATTATTTTGGGATTATTCTTATTTACATTTTTTTTTTGGTATCGCGCAACGTACCACCCCCGATTTATGATTTCTCCCGAATTTCCATATTTTCCATTGTATCTTCGCTTCTATTAGTCGCATCGTGATGTTTTATAGCCTGAAGCCTTCCTCAATAAATAGGCCACCAATTCAAAACAGAGATTATCGCGTTCAAACAAATAATATTAGTATAGATTTGGCCACTTTCTCACACGCAATTTAAAATTAAAACATCAATCTTATGCAGACAAATTGTGTCTTTATCGATTACATCTCAATTCATTGAAAAATGGCAAAGGTGCGAAGCGTTGACTTTTAAAAATTTTGACAAATCGTTTCGCGCGCTACGCTCTAAACCAATTTGTTCCAGCCAATCAGCGCGCGCAATTAATCATTCCAATTTCGAATTTGTCTTCACATTGACAATATACATTGGAACGACGAAAAAGTTTTTATAAGCGAATAACTCGGGAAAATTACGATTATTTTAGTTTTATAGATTTTAATATAGTCGTGAGTAGAAACCTAATATCAAGTACTATCTTTAGTTTAGCCAATTAGTACACATTTAAACAAAACACTTGTAAAAGTTTAAAACGCGAATTGCACAGTGGACCAAACACGGGCTGCTGGAAAGCATCTGAAACGGGTTACGGCTTCAAATAAATTATAAAAAAGATTAAATTATCTTTTCGCGTTTCAAACCGTTTAAAGTGTTTTATATAAACACCATACCATTTGCGTTATGTATTTTGCTGATACGTATTACCTATTGTTTATTGAGTATAGTGTAGGGAATTCATTTTAATCATATATCTTATACAAATACGCTTTCTATTTTACATATGAAAACCATATTGATAAGAAGATGAATCGCAAAATAACGGTATAGAATCGATAAATATCTCATATAGGAACAATCGATTGAGGTTGCCTAACGTTCCCTTGTTAATGTGCAATATAATATTATACTGTACCGATAGCACCCGCGCTACCACGCCTAACAATCAATCAAAATCGAACTTTTATTCCCAAAAACTGTTAGATATCGTCAAAAAACTGCGTAAATGAGAAATTGATTCGGAGAGGCCCTCTTTTTATTGTAATCCTAACGTTTATTATAGTTTTTTCATAACTTATTATAGTGCTAATGGTTGACAATGTATTTTATGGTGTGATAAAGCATTTCATTTGTGTTTCATTCGGTTTTTATTCCGCTTTTTTGTTAGGGCATTTGGTACGTAGGTAGGTTAAGAATGAGAGTTGCACTAGGTACTTTGTTTGATAAATCTTGTAAGTTATATTATATTTGTGACTTTAATTTATAGTATAGATTATTTAATTTGAATTTATTATTTTTGCCAAACTACATACGACGGAAAGTAGAAATTAATTTATCACCAGCCTTAAATAAGTAGGTATAGATACCCAAAACACTTGTAATGACGTTATAATTTTTCTGGAGATTGAAGCCATTTCATCCAATGTCCTATACCCCAATGTCGATGTTAAGGATTTTTTTTTAATTTTGTTTAGGTACTATGTTTAATAAAATCTGAACTCTGTGTCAGATGTTGCTATTGAATAAAATCTCAAGATAATTATGTACACAGTTGCTTAACAAAAGTATCGACTTATATCATTTAATAATTTTACATACCTAATTCTTGTTAATATGCTCAAGCAATTTAATATTTATCGAAAAAAAAAGAATTGTTTTTATTTACAGCCGATACTTCTTGAGTTATTCTAAGAGTAAATAAGATAAGGAATACAACGATATATCCAGCTCGTAATATCATCGTTTCATATCATTTTCTTGTTGCAGGTAAAAATCTGGTTCCAGAATCGTCGCATGAAATGGCGTAACTCAAAAGAGCGGGAGCTATTAGCATCTGGTGGTTCCAGAGAACAAACCTTGCCGAACAAGAACAACCCACATCCAGATCTTTCTGACGCGGAGGCTGATAAACCAAAACTGTCTCCACTACCTGAAGACGAAGAGTTAAAAAACAAAATCTATGCGTCAACATCAAACTGTCAAACTGACAACTACCGTTACGAGGACAAGATGGCGGCTGGACTGTTTTCCCGCGAAAATTACCAAAACGAGGAGGTTGACGATTTCGATAGCGATAGTGCGTCTGACGAAGAAATCCATGTGACATGACCTGTTTCTGTATAATTGTATTATAAATAATTAAGGCGTTTGTGTAGTAGATATAATTGATGGTAGAATGTATTTATAATTCCATTAATATACTTATTATGGTGAAGAGGGAAAAGTATTTGAAGGTGATATAAAATGGTAAATTCGGTATAGAAGTCTAAAAATACAATGTAACTTATAGTTATTGGATTTATTCGTATTTCGTTAAGTCAATGTAATTAAAATTTGTTTCAAACATTACCTTTTAAAAAGCGACACATCATTTTATTCTCAATCAAAAAAAATATAGATCGACAGATACATTCTTGAATGTATTTATTAGTTTAAATTGTTTTGATGAAATAATAATAAGTAGTAAGTATCTATTTGTTTCCTTTCCGACAAATCAAACATATGCATCCTGCACAAATAAATTTGAAAGGTAGCAAAATAATCTTTTGTATAATGCACCTTTGTAAATAATAAGAACAATAAACGATTTCAATAATTAAAATAAATGTCATATGTTTTTTATCTCGTTTTTATAAATGTAGAATAAAAATAATTATGTTAAAAGAAACATATGACAAGCTAATGTTCGATCAAAGCGATCTCTATGCTTTATAAAGACCTAACTGTATTATAATTATATGTGAAATAAATATATCTTAATAAGGAACAGTTGTTTTTGTGTCATACAGTTGGTAACCCACAGATTAAAAATAAGAAATAATTCACAAGTACCTACAGGATATTTTACAACAGATTAAAAGTTGACAATCTTATTTGTCAAGGTTATATTTGTTATTTCGAAACTTATAAGGAATTAATATCCAAAAACCATCAATAGGTGATATTATGTGGATTTTATATTTTGTAGATAATCTAAATTAAATAATTTCACAACAAAAATAACACAATTTTTTGTACGAGTAAAGGTGTCAACACACCGTACCGCGGGTGGTGATTTAGCTAGCGTGTTTGTGACAGCCCTAACACCTTTGTATTTTATATCGGGTGACCACACCCCTAACGATTTAGAAAAAAATATGTGTAGTAAGTATGAGGGATTTTCACTTCTGCCATATTAATTCTATCGTAGCATTGTGATTTTTTTAAAACCTGCCTTTGTTCCGAATTTCATAGGTATATTTTTTAATTTATCTTATTTTGCTTACAAGGAAAGGTAGGCTCACAAAAAAACATTATTTGCTCTATTACTATCGTCGTAAAGAAATTATGGCCGCAAGTACCTACATAGCAATAAATCTGAATCATAAATAAAACTTTTTGATGGTTTAAAACGCGTTAAACTTATTTGGAATCCCCAATGACCTTATCAGAAACGTGGGGCCATAGTTAAAATAATTTCCAAATAAGTATAAATAATATATGCCGCGTTTTAAACCGTAATAGTGTTTTATTTTATGCGTACTACCTACTCGCGTAAGCTACAGACAGTATTCAAAGGACCAAAAAAAATATGGCGGCTCTCCAAAACAGATAAAAATAGGGAATTATTTATTCAAAACATAGATTTTAATCTATGAAGGAGTATGTAATGCTTTGATTTTCGAATGTTGTTGACATAATCTATACGACGCGTGGCGCGCACGTGGCTAGCGACATCTGTTGAACATCGATTGGTAAGCCCCGTTATTACTTGAGGAATCTGTAGTCGAAGTTTCTAATATGATAAGCTTCTATAACCGTACGTGCATAAGTACAAAAATCAATTCGATAATAAACTAAAGTGTCTTTTTCGTAAAACCAGTGGCGATTTTATTTATTATATTAATATTTCACCCTTTATAGTAAAACTATACTGGAATCTCTACTAATATTCTAAAGAGATTGTTTGTTTGAACGCGCCGATCTTAGGAACTACTGGTTCGAATTGAAATATTATTTTGTGTTGGTTAAAGTATTTATCTGGGAAGGCTATTGGCTATAAAACATCGCACTGCGACGCCCTAGCGTGCGTTGCGAAAACGGTTCAAGATAGGCAGGAATGTTTTCTCTTTAAATATTTTGAGACGCGACCGCGGACGACGTCGTAGGTAACACTTAATTAATATAATATATAATAGATAAATTAAATTAAACTTCTGGGTAAACAAAACTAATTAAACAATTGTCTATATGTTTACTTTTTACTACTATTTTTTAATAGGTTATGTTTATTAGCCCCTCAAAGCAATAAAATAAACGCATCAATGCATAGAAAATCCGCCAAGTGGTCACGTGACCGACGCGTGTGACGTCATCTGGTGTGCGAGGGAGATGGAGAACACTCTTAATGTTTTCGTTCAGAAACAGAGATTTCAAATAGCAAATACTATGCTAATATAACCAAGATCCTAGACATGGCTAGATTTTTGTGTGTTTTAATGATAGAGGATGACAGACAAACATGAGGTTCCTTTGATGGTAGCTAAAATACCCCATTTTCGAATGTACTATCCACAGATTAAAGTTGACGGCTTTTTTATCTGTGGCCAGTGGTTCGTAATCCGGACGGAATTTCGATATTGCTACCAACTTTTTATTATCCAGAAGCAGGCTAACATGTTTCAGAAAAATTGTGAAATGAAAAGAAACCCGTTTGCACCCAGTAGGAATCGAACCCGTGATCCGTTGGTTATGAGCATTGCTACTATTATACCAAAGAACCCGTCAAAGATTACTGACTTAATTATAAATCAATTATTTCATTTCCAAAATACCTCTAAACATGGCACCATAAAACTTATTCCACACTATATATCTATCGTTCTTGGGAAAAATGTACGTCCACACAAATGTTTCATATACCGCAACATAACTCCTCCGTATCACTTACCGAACTAAGTGGTCACTATTATCTATCACTGTTCACTTGATAATTGTTTGGGGTTAATATATTTGTCTGGTAAAATGCATTCTCGAGTTACTGATTGATTTTTGGACTTAAAAATTAGTACTACCAGAGATTACAGAAGACACTAGTTTTATATATGGCACCGATTTTTTTTGTGACAACATTTTTTATACTGTCTATAGTTTACGCGAGTAGTACACATTTAAATAAAACACTTTAACGGTTTAAAACGCGATATATTAGTTAAACTTATTTGAAGAATGATTTTTAACGTCGGCCCGACGTTTCGGATGCTTTGCAGCAGCCGTGGTCACGGGGAGACATACACAGGCAGATGCAAAGCATCCGAAACGTCAGGCCGAAGTAAAAAATCATTTTTCAAATAAGTTTAACTAATATATCGCGTTTTAAACAGTTAAAGTGTTTTATTTAAACATTCAAGTAAATAATAAAAGTCTATCTTCTTCTTATTTCTATAAGAAAGACCAGATGACAGACAGACAGAAGACAATAAATTGTGTAAGGCTTTCACGGCCATGGTTCAACTTATCATTGTTTTTCGGGCTGTTTGGCTGACACATTCGAGAAGAGGTTCTTGACGTTTCGCCATCACGATTCGACGGCATGATCAGGAGATGTTAGATAATTTTTCGAGCAATCGAGAAGCCTCGTCGGCCGAACAGCTCGAAAAACAATAAAAAGCAGACAGAAGACTGTTTGCCAATATTCCTTACGGCTTCGGATTTGCCAAATTGTCTCAGTAAAAAATACATAGATTTTGAGATTTGCGCGTTTAACTAAACAAATAAACAACTTCAGCTATAAGTACAGATACGGAAATAAATAACAATTTACTTGTTTCATAAACAAATTATAAATATGAAGTGAAACAACTCTCCGGTCCGGTCCGGTTTGATGATTGACGCCGCTCCGGGCTTTTGCTGTGTCTGACACGGCCTTAGGGCTAACTAGATGTTTGTTTTAATTTTATTTCATTGGATAACGGCTTTTCTCCATTTACGATGCGCAGATTTAAAATATTTAGGGTCCAAATCTTACAAGTAATGGTGATTCTCTTAATAAGTGTATTAAATTTTTATATTATTAATAAATAAATACAGCGACGTTATAATAATTGATGTTTTGATAATATTGTTTATTAATTAAATAAATATTATATTAGTTATGTACGTGTGGTACTAAATTGTGTGCTTTGAGCTTAAAATATGAAGAATTCATACCTGAAGACATGGAGAAAAAATTTTTTTGCACACCAGTGTAATTAGATGAAATTATAATGTATTTAAATAAAACACTTTAACGATTTAAAACGCGATATATATTTGTTTAAAAATTATTTTAGCTACAGCCGACGTGTCTCCCCGTGACCACGTCTGCTGCAAAGCATCCGAAAGGTGACTCCCCGTGGCCACGGCTGCTGCAAAGCAACCAAAACGCGTCTCTTCGTAACCACGGCTGCTGTATAGCATCTGAAACGTCGGGCCGTAGTCACAATTATTTGCAAACAAGTTTAACTAATATATATCGCAGTTTAAATCGTTGAAGAGTTTTATTATACGTATACTACTCGCGTAAACTACAGATAGTATTTAATTATAAAGTGCTTTGTTTCCTAGAATCGTATCGTCTGCATCTCTAAAATGATGCAATAGGACTGTTAGCAAAGTATCAGGTTCTAGCAAATTGCTACAGTAACACAATACTCGATGGCTTTGAGAGCACGCACAGGGACGAACTGGTTTTAACATTATTCTGAGCCAGACATGAAATAGATTTAAAGATGTGGAAACATTTAATGAATGAACAATACTTACGAAGGTAATGCGAAAGGTGCACATTGAATAAAACTCCTTTGACGGTATAAAACTCATAAAAATTATTATTATCTGACATTAAGGGCCTACCATGTAAAGTCCTGATTTCATCCTCTTTCGCTTGTAGACCATTAAACAACATGTAAAATTGATAAAATGTTAAACTCTTTCAAAGATTAAAAAAAAACTATTGATGCAAACTGCAATTGTATTGCCATTAAATTTTTTTAAAGACCCTTTTACATATAATAAGTACAATGACTGATGGAGGGGTTTCTTAAGGTGAACAGTTCACTAAGTGAATTAAATCCAATTAAAATTGCGCGCTAACTATCTATTAACTGTCTTTTATCGGTACTTGGATAGCATATTATTTATATAAAATAATTGTAAAGCAGCTTAAATAGAAGAAAAAGAGTTAGCACCATAGCGAGACTGAGTAAAATAATTTAAATAGTGCATGAGTACGGGCCTGTTACATCATGTTTACATGCACTACAAACAAGTCTGTCTGTACATCGGTATTGATGGCTTTGTGATGTACTAAATACATGGATGTGGTATATTAGTATGTGTTAACTATAACTAGTGTCTGTAGACAATACTGGTTCTGTGGCTCTATGATAACGCGGATTAGGCGTGAGAGTTCCTGTGTTCTAATTTGAATTTTTTAGTCGGCCACAGAGGACATTCATTTAAATTTTTCATTTTTGTGGCAACATATAATAAATTAAATTCTGTATTTCAATAATTGGTCGTGGGTTCGAGTCCCGTCCGTGTTCGATGATACCTATAGGTTTAACAACGGTCAAATAACTATTTCTATAGGTACTACGTCATCACTTAACATAATCAACATTTTGACGTTGATATAAAACTAATCAATAATAAATATAAATAGCTTTTGACAATTAAGTAACAAGATTAAACCAAAACCTTTTTTTTATTATTATACTTAGGTTAATATTTTCATTCGTAGACTTCTCTAAAATCCAACTTTGTTATCCTACAGCCATGTTGGCTTACGATAATTTAGATATTAAGTTGAAACAACTGTACATAGATTGCCAAAAATAGCATTTGAATCATTTTTGTTTGTAAATTTAATAAAGCTATTAAAAACTGACAGCGCATGGGAGAAAAAGTAAAAAATTAGAGCAAATATATATAATAATAATAAACTCATTTGTCCGTCCGTATACACTCGAAGATAATATGAACTAATTCTAGTACAATAATATAATATCACTAACACAAAATAATTGCAATAAAAACGAAGAAACAGGTGATCTAAGCAAAATATTCCCACAAATTGTAACGAATCGAGCTTAAAAAGTCCAAGAGCATTCTTGCGAGGATTAAAAAAAGTCTTAATCCAAAAGGCCAACAGCCCACACGCAATCGTAAAGATACTAAAAATAAAATCCATACCCCATATAAACACGATCTCACCCCTTCAAAAAATAAAAGATGTGAACGCGTGAACGCACCCGAAAAAAAAGAACAATACTCTATGACAATTGCCAAAATGGTCTCCTAATTTGACATTAAAAAACGCGCCAATTCATTTGTACAGATAATTTATCGATGTTTTGATAATGGATACGTATTATTAATGATGTTTTATAAAAATCATTCGTACTATGCAGACCATAAATAATTTTTAAGATTCATAACGCTACAGTAAACATTGTCAACGATTTGTCGAGTTTTAAACCGGTTCCTTATATGATAATTTGAAATTTTACGGTAGATAAATTTTTGATTTGTCGTCTAATTACTATGGACTTGAATCTTAGTGTTTTATAAAGGGGCGTTATACCTAATACTTACTGACTGTTCTCGTAAAGAAATTAAACTTCCGTGTTTAAAGATACTGACAGGTAAAAAGATATTTGTTTTCCATTACCAACCTATTAATGTCTGCAGGATGAATGTATGAATGTAATTGAAAAACAAATTAATAAACAGATCGCAACATAACTTTAATGACAGTTGTCTATTAAAAAAACAATAAAAAGTTATAAATAAAGATTTTATACACACGTCTGATCAAAAGGTCCTACATCTGACGAAGCAGTTAAAGAAAGTACACAGTAAAAAGTATTTATTTAAAACGCACATTACCTTGCTGTACTCCAACGAATCGTCCTCAGATATTGTAGCACGATAACTTCGAAGATACGTACTTGTAGCGAATCGTTTAAAACTGTTTCAACTGATTTAAACATTCGTCCACAACTGTTTAGTCTGTATCCGATAATTCAGGCCGCCAGAGCGTTTGAAAGGCTACAATTAAAAAAGAGAATGTGCTTCAATGAGTGTGATTTATTTACGCTTTCATTTTAGGAATATCACGACCACCGTCCACAGATGAAAAAGCCGTGAATCGCGTTTCGGTTTCAGTCTGTGGATTTCCGAATATCCAAAGCCAAAATAGGCCGACAGCGCATCTTGTTTAGATGCTATAGGCTGGGGTACCTACCATCAAGTGAACCACATACCATGTCCGTCCTCCTCTATCATAAAAAAAAAATGTCATAGAAAAATAGAAACCATTTCATAGTCCGTCAAAGCGTTCGAATTTGCAGGGTTCAATCAGCACGGTGCTGTTCGCGGCAGCTGCCACTTTGTTGCGTTCAGAAATTTTTCACTTTTCCTTTTTCCCTTTTTCCCTTTTTTTACGACGCCAACGGCCGATACAGTTTAAAGTTTGAAACGTTGCTGTTGTGCAAAACTGGGACTATGCATGGCTTGTTTACTGAACTATAATGAAATAAAGGTATACCATATTTAAATAAAACACTAACGGTTTAAAACTCTATATATTTTAGTTAAATTTATCTTAACTACGGCCCGACGTTTCGGATGTTTTACAGCAGCTGTGGTTTGAAACCGTCAATCGTGCTTTATATAAATGTGTACTACTCGCGTTAACTACAGGCAGTATACATATTATATTACTTGAAATAATACACTTTTAACGAATTACAACGCGAAAATTGTTACCTATTTTACTTTTACAGCAAGCGGATAATGAAGTCATATTTACGAATACTTACTAATATAAAACGCGTATTAAACCATCAGGCTGTTAAATTTGTACATGAAAGAGAAGAACATATCAGTCTGGGGCTTAGTGGAAATACCCTAGCAATATACCATCTTAACAAGATGTTATATGGCTGTTGTCTTTGGATTTTTCCTAGATAAAGAAAATTCTTATCTTACCTTTATTTAATTACTTTTCATATTCACAGTGTTTTATTTGCGCCAGCCCTGAGATTAACGCATTCAAACAAACGAACTCTTCAGCTGTTTGTATAGATTTGACAGATTTAAATTACGAAGGTAATACAAAAAATATGTTAAATCAATTAATAAGAACATGTTATTATTACTTGGAAATAAAATCCCAAGGCATACAAAAATTAATCCATAATCCAAACGTCAATACAAGAAGGGTACATCCATTTATCGTCGATTTACGACCGTTTAATATCGCATCTGTGGACTCGTAACTTACAAACAGAATAAAAATAATTTTATCTCTTCAATAAATATGGCGTTGAATTTTACGGGCCATTAGGTAATTGTTATTGATACGTTTTGTACTTATTGGATAAAAATACTCCTTTTAAATAGAACACTTTAACGGTTTACGCGAAATATATTAGTTAAACTTATTCACAAATTATTTTAACAACGGCCCGACATTCCGGATGCTTATATTAGAATTATAATAGTGGGAAATGTGGAAAAAAAGTGAGAAAAAAGTTTAAATACTCAAGAAATATGTATCAAAGAATAATTCAAAACAATTATTTGCGACGGTAGGTATATGTCTATCTTTTAAGATTTACTCGTTAGTACCGTTTTTATGGTAATCAAATTTTGTCTACATTAATGCATTATTATATATTATAGATTAATACAATATATCGGTACAGAAATAAACTTAGAGAAAGAACGATAGAATTTATTAGATTACAAATGGGCTATGAGAGGAAGATAAATAAAGCACTATAATAAGTAGTATTTCTTTGAGGCTGTCTGTTGCAAATGACGTTATCTTTTTTCCTGTGCCGCCATTCTTAAATGTAATCTTGAGGCTTTGAAACGTTTATTCAGAAGGGTAAAGATCATAGAGCATTCTATGTAGTTCACAATCCTTATTAATTCAAAGATCAGGACGATTGATAGATGAGTTTTGTAGGTTATTTATTTACATAAAAAACACGCAATACAAATAAAATAGGGTTTCTCAACCAAAGGTCGATATAGAACTTAAATGAATGTACAAATACGAAGGTCGACATGAAAGGATATAAGATTATATATAAAACTTATATACTATTAACTTAAATCTTTTAACAATTAAACCTCAAAAAGTAGACAATATATAACATAACGTAACCCGACCGTAAATCGGCAGAAACCCGTTTGTGATGTTAAAACTTATACACCTAGGTACTGTCTGTAATTTATGCGAGTAGTATACATTTAAGTTCCTATTATTGACGGTTTAAAACCCCGTTACTACGGCTGCTGCAAATCATCCGAAACGTCGCCGTCGGGTCGATAAATAGAATAAATTGTAAAAAAATAGATCTAATACAATCGCGTTTATCGTTAAGTTTTTAATATGACTTATAGCTATCGATTTTTATTTAAACACAAGTAACTAGGAACAAAAGAAATGCAAAGTTCATTAGAATCCTTTCCTTGCCCGCACGAATTTATTTATTATGTTTTTTATGGATTTAAACCCTAGATCTTTAGCGTTAAACGTATTGCTCGGTCACAAATGTTGACCATTAGGCCAAAAAGGAAGTTAACGCGTTGGTTCTGTTTTATTTTTAGGGTCAACTAAAATAAATGAAGAAAAACATTACAATTTTGATCATGTAAATTTGAATCTCTCTTCAAATCAAAAATCTTCTTGTTTTTAATCTTCCGTTAGGCTGGTCAAAAATGCATAGTGAGCACGTTTTCTTTCATCTAGCGGCGAATAGATAAAATAATAAATGACAAGGCTAAAATATAACTACTACACTCATTGACAGATAGCGCTGTTATTAATGTGAGACATCTGGTTTATTTATTGTAAATAAAACAAAATCAATACTTAATTGTACGTTGTTTATTTTTTATTCAATTTTAAAGATAGCTTTCGAAATAGATCCAGCCTTCAAAGCCTCTAACGCGTTCTTATATTCAGATAACGCATACGTTTTAACACCAAGGTTTTCGTAGTTCAAATACCTGAAAGATATGTATTTTTATTTAACATTGTAGAGTATACTAACAAGATAATATAAATGTGATTTAAAATAAACAATATACCTAGATCCCATTGCGCTCAGTAAGCCAAGAGCTTTAGGAAAGCTAAACGGGTTAATTTTAACTCCGATAATCGTTAATTCCTTGTCGTAGACAACAAACGGGTTTATTCTGTAAACAATAAAAGTTTTATGTATTTACATTGTGTAAAATGTCAAGTTCAAAAATCAGTTACGATGAATAGTGATGTCAGCTCGCTCATAAAAGCGATTATCTATCGATTATTTTAATCGATTACTATACTCACGATGCTTGATGAGTCGGGGGACAGCATCCGAATAAAATGTATTTACCTCCATGGCGTAAGTAGTTGAAAGAGACTTCCATTACTTTACCTACGCCTACAAATAATATTACAATTTTAAATATAATTAATGCTATTTTTTTCTAATGCATATTATTGTAGGATGAAATTACCCGTGCAGTCAACAATGACATCATATAATTGTTTCTCGAAGGCCAAAACATCTGGTGTTATCAATCTGTAGCCCGTTTCTAAAAATAAATATAAGTAAGACTTGAATCGAAGCAATAAATGTATTTTTTTTATTATTACATACCCAGCTTCTTAACGATTTCTAGCCTGGTTATGTTCATCTCTGATACAGTCACGTCTTTGTGACCCTGCAAGTGAAGAGTTGTAAGCCATAGATTGCCTGGAAAATTTCATGCTCAATAAATAATCAAGCCATTGCAACGGCTCTACATTGATTTAAAATGATTTTGTGGTAAGCTAAGAACTTGTCGTATTGGTTTTATTTACTTTATAGATAGCCAATTACAACGTTTATGACAAATATGATAATATTATTGAGATAAAATTTAACAAGCGCAAATAAAACAATATAGATAATAATTTATCATCCACTTATCTTAATATTTTGTAATAGTCGTTATCTATGTAAACACTACTATGAAAATTAAAAGCTTTTTGTTGTTTGTATGTCCTATTGAAGTGTGAAGTTGAGTTTTCAACAAAAGTATTGATATGAGTATATAAAAGTCAACTTTTATTCGTTTAATAATTCTATAAAATTAGGGAAAGCCCGAAGAAAAGAGCACTGAGTATAAACTTCAAACACGAATATTCCAATCACAACCATGGTCGCAGGTACATTTCCCCCTAAGTCCATAGTCTCTGGAAATTGACTTGTCTGCCCTCCTCTGCCATAAAGGTATAAGGTTAACTCACCAATAATACCAGCCCCGACCACGAGTATTTTAGCACCTATCGGTATTGGTGCTGCGCGATCAAAACCATGTGACACGCATGAATATGGCTCACAGAGGCCGGCTAAAAATTACCAAGGAAAATATCAAATCTGAATATAGATATAACTACAAAACCATTTGTGTTTCCACACAACAGATTTAAAAAAATCAAGTATTATATACAAACATTAAACTGACAAGATACCTTGTTCTGTTGTTATTCCCTCGGGAAGCAAATACACTTGGTCCTGTGGGCATCTTACGTATTGGGCCCAACCACCATCTTTCCAGATTCCGATAGTACTATTTATGCCAGCTGTGAGACAGTACTGATACTTACCGTCGCGGCAGAAATCGCACATATTACAAGCGCTAAAAACATAAGAGTTTATAATAAGTTTTAATGATAGAGAAATATGGGTTTTACTTGACAAAAGGTGAAATATCTCATCCATAAAACATCAAAACATTATACTGTTTATCTATTTTGTCTTTGGATATTCAGAATTTTACAGACTGACACTGAAATGCGAGTAAACGTCTAAGGTTTTCTATTTGTAGGCGGCGGTTCGTGAGCCGGACAGAATTTCTATTTCTACTACCCATTTTATTAATATCCAGATTTCTATTCGAAGAAAAAAAACGTAAAAATTGATTATAAACATGTTACACCTAGTGGGGATCGACAAGCCCATCAGAAGGGTAAAGATACTGTAACCAATATTTTTCTTCTGAAAGTATTATTAGATTTTTATTGGCTCGTTTCAACGATAAAGATCTTACCGATTAGGATCGACAACGACTTTCTGTCCTACTTTGAAGATAGATTGCTTTCCCACTTCATATATGATACCACTGAATTCGTGTCCCAGAGGTAAAGGTCGTTCCTTGGATGCTGGGAATTCTCCCTATAAGCAAGGATTACACTGCTTATTAAATTTAAACATGAACTGAAATACCTAACTCTTCATTGGATTTCAATTTTCAGATACCTATATTTACTTATAAGGTACTTAAAACTTGATTGATATTTTTTTTAGTTATATATCTAGTAAAAATGACGACACGGATGGGTCACTTGGTTAGAGCAGCAGCATGGATCGTTGATGCTGGGATAATTCCCGAAATCGATTTGTTTTTATCCAGACAGATTTTTTATTTATATAAATGCTATCACGTGAAAAGTAATAGGTTTTCAAGTGATGATTTTTTCCCAAAATCTCAAATGCAATCCAATCTACCAACTACCCACCTGAATAATATGCAAGTCTGTTCCACAGACTCCAGAATATTCTACTTTTACAATAACATCATCGTCGTTAACAATCTTCGGCATCGGATAGTTTTCGTCGTATTTGAGACTAAGGTTTTTACCGTCGAATACTACAGCCTTCATGTTTTTGTTTCTGTAATTCAGTCCCGAAAAAGAAACACAATTTAAAATGTAAAATAGTATAGTTAATTTCTTATCTTAATTGGTCTATGATGGTAAGTCTTAAATATTGCTGTAAAACGTTGGGATATATAACGTAAATAGTTAACATTTTTTGAGTCAATTAGTACTTTTATAAACTTCCGACAATAGGTATAATCCTTCATGAAATAATGAGTTATTGTTTATTTAATTTTCGCTACGTCTTGAAAAACTTGTTACTATAGGTAGAAAATTACCTTTAAATTGGAATTGCTATTTAAAGTAGTTATAAATAAATACAATTAATAGATAGTTTTACAAAATGATGTGAGAGACTAAAGTACTTAGATACAATATATTGCTATGCACTTACAGAAAAATCGACCGATTCTTATCACAGCTCTTTGAAATCTAAATTATAAGTATAGTAAAAGTTGATAACTCGTTACATAACTATTTACTATTGTGACCATGATTACACATTGTAGACTTAACTCGAATAGTCACAATCTAGTTAAACTGTTTAACTTATGGTAATCGATATTGTATATAAATGTATATCATAAAAATATAAAATAATGTCTATCAAAAATATAATAAGTCTGGTTTGTATCGGCAAGCTTTTTAATTCTATCCTGTCGTTTATGTCATATATTAAAACATGTATTTTATCTTGAAATATCATGGTTGCTGTTTTATTTTTGAAAGAAAGTTCATCCCCATTACTATAAATAGGTAAATCCAGGTGCCCAGGAGTAACAGCATCGGCTTATGCATTACCTTTGCATTGTCAAGCGTTTTTTTAATTTGATATTCAGATAAAATAGACAATTTCTATCACTACATGACGGAACCACCTTTTAAAAAGCACCTTTTTAGGTGCTTTTTTTCCTAATTTCTTTTTTACGAGAGTAATATTATACTCTAGTAGTTAGTTAGTCTCCTTACCCTTTCTGGATAAATGGTCTATCAAACACAAAATAATCTTTTAATTAGAGCCAGTAGTCAAAATTAGCGCCTTGAAAAAAAAAAAAACTTTTCAGTTTTATGATATTAGATTTCAAGGATGGCCAGGGGTCAACTAAGGTAATAAGTGCGGCTGTTTTAATTACTGCTGACATAATGGTCACCTTCTATATTGACCTAACTCATTATACCACTTGTTTTTGTAACCCAAGTCATATCTTATCTGTTTTATATTATTGGATCTTAGGATCAACTCTTGGATTGTCAAAATTGTTGTTTAATGTTATAAACACCTTTCTACTCGTACTTAATCGCACGATATATTTTACTATATTCTAACGATTTGGTTAGTTTTAATATAGTCACATATGTCAATACCTGTAAAAAAGTTAAAAATATTACATAATTTTATAGCTCTTAGGATAGTTATTATTTTCCCAGGGCTCCCTCAAAGCACTGTCGAGGGTTGGTGGTGTGTTAATTGGTTCGGGTCGGCCATACGATTTACCACACTCCCCACGTCACTATTGCCCGACGTGGGCGTGCATTAGACATTGACACCATCAGTGTAAAGAAGGATATTTATTATTTACTAATGTACTAATTATTTATTTAGAGGTCAGTTTGTTTCTCTTTAATTTAACCACATCTGTAGCTCAATGGTGAGACTCGTTAGAACCCTAGAACTGCAAAAAGATCGAAAGTGTCCTGGATAAGGGGTATCGATTTTTTTTTGATCGATCAGAACACAGAAATTGGATCAACTGCTTGCTTTTCTCAAAGTTTGATTAGTGATAATGACACAAAAATTAGTTTGCATCATGTCCCACTTGTTAAATTTGTTTTTTTGTATTTGTATCTAGCTTAAAAAGGGATAAATGTAATATACTATATAATTTTTGATCTTTACAAACATTAAAAAAATTTAACAGTAAGCTTACAGCTTAAAGCATCAAGTTTACTAAAAATAATCGATTAAATGCTCGATGGTATACAATGGTGGTCTTCTCTATGGTTTTAAATGAGCGGTCGCACATCACTGCGTTACGGCTTTACTCCTTAGTCTTTAGATTTATTCTCAAATCACAATTCGAAAGTTGACGAAGCGTACGGCGTTGTTTTTAAAATGGCGAACACATTATTGGAATATTTTATGATTGTTTTGTTTATTATATCTAGCGGTAAGTTGATTTTCAATTGTTTAGTAATACAACAATACTTAAATTACTCCTAGAAATACAGTCATGTAACTTCAATGACGCTTCTATTGTTTGTTATTGCCACTTCGACACACCCTGTTCGCAATAACACCGACTTAAAAATATGTATAAATTCAGTTCATGCGTTTTTAATTTAACGATATGTTTGAAGCCGTATTTTAAATTCTTTATAAATTTTTTACAGTTTTGGTAATAGGGCATGGTAAATTTCGAGTCTCGTATTTTTGCTCTTGTTTATTTACTGTATCAAACTCGGCTAATATTTGTTATTTTAAATGAATAATACATGAAATAATACCAAAATAGTAAATCCCAAACTGTTGACTTTGCATCATTTACCTAACAATTTAGATAATAATGTAGCATTAATATGTCGGTTTGTAAACAGTGCATATTTGTTGCAGGTAGTGCCCAAAGGACACCTACAATATCTCACATAACTCAAGAGCAAATTCGGGATATCGGAGGTCAGGTGGACCTGGACTGTTCTGTGCATTACGGACAGGATTACCCCGTTTTGTGGGTAAGCATAATTTTAGTTATAAAAAATAAAAAAATAAAAATTAAATACAAATATAAAACTATATACAAAAGCTTAACACATAGTAGTGTTGGTATTATTATAAAACTTATGTTCAAAATGGAGATTAAATAAGCTTTACGTCAAAGCAAAAAAAAAACTGTGGAAAGAAAGAAACCGCATCTTATTTGCACTTCATTCTAATTAAGTGTACATAAAAAAAAATGCTGCTGTGGCTCGGTCATATTCAAATTATATTAAGTTTATTAATAAAACCGAAATTGTAAATGAGACCCTACAGTACTGGAAGATGTGAACAATAAATGTTTTAGTTTTAGTTCTAAGCACATTCTAGTTCTATAACTTATAAATTTATTAAACCTTCTCAAGAGTTACAATAATTAATTAATATTAATAATCATTAAGATGTTTGTTTAAAGGTCTTTCTGAATATACCTCAAAGTCAATGTGTTATCACATAAAAAGATATCCTTATATTTAAATATGTATGTACATATATACATTTTGACCTCAATAATATATACACTTTGAAAGTAGTGCTGTTACTTAGTATTAAAAAATACATGCATGTCTAAGCATAAAGAAATATGCTAAATAGAGCTATATTATATAAAATTTTATCGGAATCTAAGTTACCACAAGTTACTCAAGTTTCACATGACAAGAGTATATCTTATACATCACATGTTATTTGTGACAAATATGTTATGTTTACTTTTGTGAAGAAGAACAAACATTATCTATACAATTAACTAACTATTCTACTATATATTTGTATTTACTGCCCTTATACACTACCACTGTCCTAATTATGCATTAATTTTGTTAGTTGTTAGAATTAATATATCATTACTAATAATAATATAAATATTTATTTATTTGAGCTGGAGTATTGTCTAGCTCGTGGTAGTGGGACACGTAAATTAAAACACTTTAAAACAAATATATGAGTAAATTAAATTTTCTCTATGACTATGTTTCGAATAATTAATCATTTTTCTATACATAGCAGCCCTCAATTTTAATCCCAAATGCCTGGAGCTACTGTGTGGGTACGGAACTAAAGGTCAAATCAATAACTCCAGTGGTTGTAGATGTTAAAAAAAAATCTAAATGTATATGTCAAAATAATGTTTAAACTTACAGTCTTGATAGGGTCATAACAATCAGAGGAAAACAATAGTTATTTGTTTTTTGACCCTAAGATAGCAAGGCAAAAAATAACTTTCTCTGATAAAAAGGCCAAAGATACAAACAAACAATAATAAATAAAAAATACAAAGAAGTTATTTATGCCAATTTATTTATTTTTCAGGTGAAGTATGACCGTCTGAAGACTACCGAGTCACTTCCCTTGTCTACAAGCTCTGGACTTATTATTCGGGACTCAAGATTCTCTTTAAGATATGATGATGCCTCTGCAACATACACCCTATCGGTAATTTACTTTTTTTGCATACATAGGTTTAAAGATTTTTTTTGCTGTATCGCTCTTATCTGTTTGATTCGAAAACCCACTTGTTATTTGATTCTTGAGAAAAAACCTATGTATAATAATATATATAACTGCCTCGTTGGTCTATGCGTCATTGCATTTGACTGCAGATCATGTGGTTCGGGGTTCCAATACTGATTCAGGCAATTTTTTTTAGTTTGAAAGTAGGTTTGGAGGTAGAAGATTACGCAACATACAGCATGCTAGCTGTTGGTCCTGGTTATCACCACTATGTAGTACAGGTAGTTGTTGAAGTCTCCCGAGCTTGGCTGGAGCACGGTGGTCTAAGCTCTCTAAAACCATCTCATATGGAAAGTGTCGGCATTGGCATTATCATTTAACTAGACGTTTCAAAATGTGTTTTTAGTAATATATAATACTATAACAGATTTAAGAAACTAAATCTCGTGAAAACTTCTCCAGATCAAGGACATCCAAGAGACTGATGCTGGCTGGTATCAATGCCAAGTGATAATAACTGTGAACAATAAGATAACTGCTGAAGTGGAGTTGCAAGTCAGGCGGCCTCCGATCATCTCCGATAATTCCACTCGGTCCATTGTTACTAGTGAAGGAGAGAGTAAGTTATGGATGTTGTGTTACAACTAAACTTTTTTCTTTTATGATAGAGGAGGGCAAACAGTAATGGTCATTCTAGATGAAAGTGAATAGCCCAGCAATATAAAATTTGCTGTTGTGCTGTCAACCTATTTTAGCTTTGGATTTCAGAACTGCATGGACTGAAATCAAGATATGATTAAACATCACAGCTTTCTCAACCGTGGACAATGTTTCGTGAATTGAATGAAATTTCCATATTCCTACATCCATTTTATATCCAGATTTTCAGACAAACTGCAACATGTGTTAGATAAATTATATTTAAAAAAAAACATGTTCAAACCGTTGATCATTTAGATCTATGAGCCCGTGAAACCATTAAATTTAAAAAGTTGTGTTTATCAAGTGTTATGATTTGAAGTCTGGTTGTAAAAATATGACAAAAAAATGTGGCTATTAATTTGCTTGGCTGCCCTCTGTCCTGTCTATAACAATAGATTTTTTTATTATTATTTTTTTAATATTTCTGCTTTATTTAGGTACTCAAATGGAATGCTACGCCGATGGTTTCCCGCCTCCGAAGATCTCTTGGCGACGTGAGAACAACGCTATTCTGCCGACTGGTGGTTCTATATACCGGTAAATTCTACAAAACCTTAGTTGCAGTAAATCGTCAAACAAAAACATCTATGTTTAAAATACTTAAGATACTCTTAACGACCTTTTAATTGAACAAGATGAGAATAAGTAGGGATAAAGACAAGACAAAAACAAATATTTGCACAGCAAGGAGTTGCAAAGAATGTTGTAGTAAGTTTGAATCCCACCATGTCTTTGTTTTTTTTTTCAATTCTTAAATAGATTTTAATTTATATAAAGCTATCCATATGTGTTTACACAATAATTTTTGCGTAAGCATTGAGCATTTGCGAAAACTACACGTTGAAATAAATCATTTTTAACGATCTAAAACGGGAAATATATTATAACAAACCAAAAATACAAGTTTAACGCATAGATTTTGCGGTTTTAAACCATTACAAGTGCTATTTTGTATTACTAATGGAATAAATAATCTAATCCATATTTGCAACAGGGGCAACATCCTAAAGATCCCGAAGGTACACAAGGAGGACCGCGGTACATACTACTGTGTGGCTGAGAATGGTGTCGGCAAAGGAGCAAGAAGAAATATCAATTTGGAGGTGGAGTTCGCTCCAGTGGTCACCGTACCTAGACCAAGGTTGGGACAGGTTAGTATTTCTTTTTATTTATTCGATTTCCATATAACGTACGTGTTTTTTTATATACATATAAATAATACAGATTTTTTTACAAATACATCAATTACACATAAACACATTGCAAACACAGTTAATAGGCACACAATTAAGACTATAACTAATACTATACAAAAGAAACTAAAATAACAAACATAAAGATGTGAATTAAACAAATTAAAGACAGGACATGAACTTGACTTACCTAATGCCAATAATAATATTTTGTTGGATGCTATAGGTCATGTTTGATGTGCTAACGAGTGTAACCAGAAAAATTAAAGTTACAATACATTTAAATAAAACACTTTAACGGTTTAAAACGCGATGTATTAGTTAAACATATTTGAAAATTATTTTTAACGTCGGCCCGTCGTTTCGTGTCGAATCTACTCGCGTAAACTATAGACAGTATTTACAATACATTGCTTAATGTTTGTAATGTTTCTCGCTTAAGTCACTGTTATTTAAAATATCAAATGGTTTTATGAGCGCTGTCTAACAGACGAACGCTATGGTTTTGCTGAAAATCAGTGTTGTAGCAACTGTGCTGCAACTTATGCTGACGCAAGACCCTTTTGGCGTCGCTTTTCCTTTAAAAGTATCTTTTTAATGATTTTTTTGTTATTAAATTTATTTCTTTCTTACAATGTATTAAATGAATGCCAAATAAAGGGATTATTTATCAATTTCCAGGCCCTCCAATACGACATGGATCTGGAATGCCACGTGGAAGCATACCCACCACCAGCCATCACCTGGCTCAAGGATGAAGTGCTTTTATCCAACAACCAACATTACAGGTAATTAAAAATAAATGTTATATAGTCAGGAAGAATTTAAACCCCGCTTTAATATAACAATAATTATCATAACGGCACAACTAAGGTATATTCGCGTACATCATTGGCTGTTGTGCCTATGTCAGATGAAACAGGCTTCGATGCTCAGAAACGTGGCCTATCTGGACCAAAAGAGAGCCAAAATATAATTTCCTTATATACTTCGTTTGACAGGCTCGTTAGTGGTGTATTGGTAGTGGGTTCGATCTGTGGGTCGTGTCTGTCCTCTATCAAAAACCTAAAAAAGAAAAACTTTGAAACGTGTTCTCGAACTTTTTTAATCTAAATAGGTTTTCAATAGGTTGAGGTCAAGTGGTTACAGCAGCAGCTCGGGACTTTGTGAATGCCGAATTTTTTCCAATCTGAATATATTTTGAATGTAGAATTAAAACTACTTGCTTTACAGAATCTCCCACTTTGCAACAGCTGATGAGTTCACAGACACCACATTAAGAGTAATAACGATAGAGAAGCGACAGTACGGAATGTTCACTTGCAAAGCTCAGAACAAACTTGGCAGAGACGAGGGCAGAGTTGAACTCTTTGGTAAGTTCAAATATAGGTTTTTTTCGCGGAATTGATATGAAGCTATTGTTTAATTTTGCCAGTGAATGGAAGTTGGTTACATTTTTTTTCTTATAAAATAATATACCATTAAAATGGTGCTTGAAAAGTATGTCTCTGAGTTTGGTCATGCTGAGGAAAGAATAGTATTATTTAAATAAAACACATCTAACGGTTTAAAACGCTAAATAGATTAAACTATTTTTATCATAACTACGACTACAATTTTCGTTACATGTGTTTTATTATAATACAAGATTATCAATTTGTATTTTTTTTTTCAATTAAATGATCGCCCTTTTTAAGTTTAAGTTTGCCATGCTTTTGCTTTTGGTTTAAAAATATTAAATTTTGACTATTAAATCAGTTATGTAAGATTGTTTTTTTTTTCTATTCAAGTTCTATAAGACTAGTTTCATAAAGGCTTTAGCATTGTTTAGTTCTTTCCATTCAAAAAAAAAAACAAAAATTGTTTAGTTGATATCAAAATACCAGTTCTTTTATAAAACCAGTAAAAATTTAAAAAGTAAATACATACATCAATATCTTTTTTAAATTCTCATATATTAGCTAGAAGCACAGAGGACTGTAAAATGAAACTTGGCGATAAAAGAAGTGGCGGCGAGTTTCTTGCCAGTTCTTTTCTTTCGTTCTACACCCTTGATTTTAGAACTGGTAGTAAATGTAAATTTAGAGTCATCAGTTTTTGGCTGGTTTGACGTTCATCAAGTGTTTAAATTATTTTTGACTTTGATATCTTGTAGACAAACTGGTTTAATCGGTATTCTGTGTCTTGTACACAGAATACCGTAATATATAGTTAGGCTTTAAGCATGGCATGGCATGTAATATATGTGTGTATCATAGAAACAATTATCCCGGTGTGCCCGCCCGCCTGTGGCCAAGCGCGGTACGGCGCGGCCGCTTCACTGGCGCCCTCTGCCGAGACAATCGCTGTACTGTTTGCGGCCTACGCTCTTTATGCGTTGCGGTAAGTTCTCGGCATGTTTCAGTGATTAGAATGAATTCTGCTTAGTATAGTAATAAACTTAGACCAAAATACTTTTATTGAAATCATTAATTGTAAATTTTTCCTACTATGTATATTGTCTTTAACGTGTTACATAACACAAATAATATATAAAAAGTTGAGCATCCGTCCAGGCCTTCCATCTAGCGTCCACATTGTGGTGGTCTAGCCACAAACACGTCCAAACGTCCGGCTTTTACTAGAGGCCTCCGGTCTAATATACACATAACCAAGTAAAAAAATGACCACTAATTTTTTCTTCTATATTTTGCAGAATCGCCAATACCAGACATTAACCACGCAGGATTGCGCCTCGATCCGTCGATTTATGGCAACACAGTGACCCATAAACTCCACATATCCTTTAAAATTGTACTTCTCCTACATATCCTTAAGTATGTCTACATGACATTGTTGTAATTTGGTTTTTACAACGAATCACAAAAATGTCATTTTACAATGTTTTTGCAAGACATAGTTGTATGATCAGACACAGACAACAAAATACGTTATCCGAACTCGGCTACAAAAATGACAATAGGTATGACAACATAAATAGTTTTATACTACATTTTAATGAACCAGTGTTTAAAAGATAAAATAGATATGTCCAAAACATTCAATATACAGGTTGATTTTTGGTACAACGGACATGTTAATTCAAACATATCTCTCAATATAAAAATCATCCTGTATATGAACAGCGAAATTTGTTTAAAATAGTGAGTGACTCTTTCATAAAATATGTGAAGAATGGTGTGCTCAAACAAAGTCTTATAAGAATGTACAAATTTTGAAAAATCTTAATATTGTAGATTAGTTTTCGTAGGTACGAGTATCAAGCCACTCAGTGAGATGGACTTATATAATAAAGACATAGTAATTAGTTTAGTCTATTCACAAAAGTGAGTTAGTATGACATCCTATTAACTCACTTAGGTGAATTGACGAAGGAATGACAGTGAAAAGGCAAAATCGAATCTAAGTAATCTCTTTCTTTATGTATTTTTCTTTTACATTCTTAATTTTTTTATAAATTTTTATTTTCATCGACGATTTCAATATTGTCAATTAAAAAATAGACTGATTTTTAAATCAGGAGCCATATGTGGTTTAAAATACTAAAGTTATCTACACCTTTTTTAATATATCAAGCCGCAACCAAAAATTACCTTGTAGCAACTTAGAATCATTTTCAACTAAGACATATTTTTCTGTGAAGTTTATAAAAACAATGTAGCATTCTGGTACAGTTTTCTGGTTTATGGCGTTTGATCATTCCAAATTACTCTTTAGACTGGTAAATTCCATCCATTTTTTTAGGTTATTATTGTGAAATTGTGTTGTGCATTTTTATGGCCGCTTCTAAAACTACGTCTAGGTTATATTTTATAGGTATAAGCTCAGTTGAATAGGATTTGTTTACTTTGCGAAGCTTATCGAGACAAGCCAATGATTACCATATTGTAACTTTTGCCGTAGTGTTTTCGAAAGGTTTTCAATTATCACACTACATACTTATAATACGACATTTTCGTCCTATAAGACAGTCCGCCATTTTGAGGTGATCTTCCGCCATTTTAAGTGGATCTTCCGCCATTTTGTAATGACCCGATTTCAGTTAATTCAAAGTGTGGATTGGGGGAAACTGGTGTTAAACCTTTCGAAAACATTATAATTGTACCTCTTTAGATATAAATGCTTTTATAAGAGTTTACTTATGTTATATTCTTAAGTCATACAGTATAATAGCGTTTTAGTTCTAAGAATATAAACCAAAACAGCCATTTTAATTTAGACGTGAATCTCGTTTACTTTAATGAAATAGCTTTATTTCGCCTGTTATTACTTAGCTTTGTGAATCTCAATTTGTTCTAATTTGCCTGTGTTCGCGTGAGGTTTTTAATAAAGATCTTTTTAATATTTTTTTGTTTTTTTTTAATACTACGTGTGACAGTGCTTTGACACTTTTGATAGACACATAATGTCGCGGACATGTTTAGATCATTTATAGAGGAATCATTCTCTGTTCTGTTCGGTTTTTTTTTCACATTTCTCACTATTTAATGGCTCCTATTGGTCGCATCGCTTATAGCGTTTAAGTGTTCCTCGATAAATGTTCTAACCAAGACAAATTTCTATTGGCACCCGTCGTTCCTGAGATAGGGACAAACAAACTCTTCAGCTTTATATATTAGTATAGAATAAAGGAGACATGGGATGACCACGGTAAAGGTACACAGACTCTTGACGGCAACAGGAACCATGTCGTAACAACAAGTAATTATAAATTTACTTAATAAAATAATTTCTTTTTAGAATATTTTAATGACTTAAAATTAAAATTTGTGAAGAACTCAATTAATTACATAACGTTTATTAATTGATAATACTTATTTATGACGATTTATTGTTCTGTGTTACAATATTGCCTAGTTGGTCTAGAAATCGTTCGGTTCTCTGGACAAGATACGCTTTCGACTTATTTCGGCCCTGACTGTGGGATAATTCACAGACTGAACCGAAACGCGATTAAACCTTCACGGTCCTTCGATAGTCTTACCAAACAATTTAATAGTCAGTTTTCCAGACGAATTCCAAATCATGCTAGTGGGGTTCCAACCCGCGACCCATTAATTTGCCATACGTTGCTACCATTAGACCAAGGATTCCGCCAGAAACATGTGTGACCACCCTCGTACCATGGAGAACATCTTAAGCTGGGTCCAAGTTAATACTCACTTAGTGACGGTAGTTGTTGAAATTTGCAGTAAAGAGTTACATCCCCTTTTCTAGGTAGGTGTGTTACCCAAGTTTCTTTTAATAGCCATTTCGTATATGCACTTAGAAATATCATGAAACCATTTATAGTTTAATTTTGAATAATAATCCTTATTAATCAATAAAGAGGTCTTTCACATAACAAGTCCATTACAAATTTATTTCGTTCGTATTCCGGTAGTGGCATGTATTTTGTACCATCTTCATCAATGTTTAGGCAATATCTGCTGTTCTTTCGGTATGGTAACCATTTTACGTTCTGATTCTTCCATGAGGGCTGTCTGAAAATAATTAACTAATATATAAATTAGTAGATATACAAAAAAGAAGTCATAATTCGTTACGTAACGCATTACAGTACTAGTTTACCTAGCTTTCTTACTTAAATCAATTAAACAAATTAGCTCCTTAACAAAATATGTAAGTATGTAATATGTTTACTTCTGTCGGGCGGTTAATAATTTAAAATAAACGTAGATAAAAAAAAAATTACAACATGCTAGTCCCGGCGGGAATCGAATTTACTAAGTCACAAACAACAAACATTTTGTTACCCAGACTTCGCGAAACTGCTCCACATCTGTGTCACTGTATCAATAACTTCCATGTCCTTTTCCTTGCACAATTTCGCCTTAATATCCTTATAGAATAAGTACTGCAGGATATCACCGTGCGAGGTCCCCTTGATACCCAGATTTTTCATCACGCGCGTATTCATATTCCCCACGTAAGCGAACCTCAAGAAATACACATCGCTGTGATCGGCAAGTAATTCTGCACCATAGATTATATCTCGCATGAAATACACATCCGAGAACATGTTCAAATATTGTTCCAACTGCGACTGATCGATCTCTTTGTCCCCAAAATAATATTTCTTCAGTTTCTTCTCTATCTCGAAGGCTCTCTCCGAGTCCTTGTCTATTCCCGTAAAATACGGGATAAACTTCCGTAGTTCCTTATTCAGTATTGCCTTTCCTGTTGCATCTTTCCTTACGTATATCCCCCCCTCGTGGGTTTCCATGGTCATCAGCACTGGTACTTTGTCAAATCTGTTATTTCTCACCGACTGCAGCGGATATTCTACCAAATAAGGTTCAACACCATCGAATTGTTTCTCCACCACTGGTATAAGGAATGGATGAATATCGGTCATGTCTCTGCCGTATTCGATCTTCGTGTGCGCGCGGATCATGTCATCAGCGGACGCCTTCGAGAAGAAATCGAACAGATCGTTCGGTTTCGTTAAGTTTTTTCGCATGATCGATGCTATTCTGCTGGCTTTCTCCACGGGATCGTGCAACGTTACGAACAGGTCCGTAAATACGTTCATCGACTGGGCTATAACTTTGCTGAAGAGTCCTCTAGTCATTGGTGACATTAAATAGGAGGTGACGACTGACGCACCAGCACTCTCTCCTATTGGCACTATATTGTCAGAGTCACCATTAAAATGGCCTATGTTGTCTCTGACCCATCTCAGAGCCATTGCAGTGTCTTTTAGCCCGGCATTACCTGGAACTTCTGGAGTGTGGAGACAGAGAAACCCGAATATGTTAATGCGGTAATTGATTGATACTAAAATTACATCGTGACTCAGGATGTAGTCGGGGCGGTAGTAAGCCCCGAATCCATCGACTAATCTGCCCCCGTGAACTAAGAAAAGGACGGGCAGTTTCTCTACATTCTCTTTTGGTAGACTCGGAGTGTACACGTTAAGGTAAAGACAGTCCTCGGAGCCTTCGATTATTTTTAGAACGTCGTGGACCTGCTTGCATTTGTTGCCAGGTTTTGTGGCGTCGAGAATTCCAGGCCAACCTTCTAATTTTTGCGGACTCTATAAAACATTAAAAGACACATTGGTAAGTTACTCGAAAAGGTAAGTAATGACGTTACAAAGTCTTTTAATTACTGTAATTTTTTCCCAAATTAAAGAATTTAATTTTTTCCAGACGAAAATCGGTATACTTCAGAAAAATCTGCTTAACGGTTTTAAACGCGAATATATCAGTTAACGACCACTTGACATCAGAAGGGGACTTATAGACATTATTATATTAGTAGTTAATTTAGACCCATGCAGACACCAGGTTCTAGGAAAAAAGATCACGAAGATTTAAACTCACCTGGAATCCAAGGCGTCCCACTGGTGGTTTTGCATAAGGAATACCCTCGAAGCTGTAAAACTTCCTACCACCAGGTGCAACACAGACTCTCCCTTTCATCCTGCCCTGAGGCACTTCAGCATAACACTCGTCTTTGTCAGAAAAATATCCAAGCGTTAATAACGTAAAAGCTACACAACTTTAAGCAATGGAATAGAAATATGTTTACCGAGAGCAGGAAGAAGGATTATGTTTTTGAAATGTTCGTTTGTATTTGTTCCGTATTTACGAATTCTTCTCTTGCTATCTTTTTCCTCGCAATGGTCATGCGCAGTTATCTCATATATATTGACTACGATCAACCAAGCTAGGTCCGCCGTGTAGTGGTAAGTACCTTCAATTCCGGTTAATAACTATATTTCCTATTCTGTTATAGTTAACCCGATTCACTTAAAACGAGACAAACAAATCAACAGATTAAATTGCCTTCTAACCTTTTAAAATATGTCGCAGAATAAATATTCAACCAGTAATGCCATGTAAAACTTTGATTATGCTCTGTGTAACGATTATATTTATTACGGTAGAATAGTTTTTTATTATAAATATAGAGAAGGACAGACAAACATGCGGTTCAAACAGCTTAGGTATACTAGCTAGCAGCTACCCCATTGACAGACTGTTGATAGAGTTGTTCGTGACACGGATGAAATTTTGATATTCCTACCATCCATTTAATATCTAGATTTCCAAACGAAATCCAACATGTTTCAGAAAAATTATAGATTAATTAGAAACATTTAAAAATCGAAAATAAATTGAAAAAATTTTTCGACTCGGGCAGGACTTGAACCGGCATCGTCGGCGTTCCGTGCTGTTGCTCTACCAATTGAGCTACCGAGTCCTACGCCTCGTGCACGAACGAGCCAATATACAATAATCTTAGGATCTTTCCTTCCTAAAAGTCCTAATTCCCCAACGTGGGGCAAAGATAAGTCTGTGTTTAACTGACGGATTTTATTTACACGCGCGGAGTTGATTAGGCTACTACGCCCTTCATGATCAAAACTATACGTTACTCGGAACTCAAACCTAGGACCTTAAACTATTAAACCACTCATAAACAACACAACGCGAACTACTAAAGTGTTAAATACTGTCTATAGTTTACGCGAGTAGTGCAGTCTCAGTCTCCCCGTGACCACGGCTGCTGCAAAGCATCCGAAACGTCGGGCCGAAGTTAAAAATAATTTTCAAATAAGTTTAACTAATATATCGCGTTTTAAACCGTTAAAGTGTTTTATTTAAATTAGTAGTACACATTTAAATGAATCAATTTTAACGTTGTAAACGCCAAACTATACGTATTATTTATTCTGCTTAAGTCCAAATTAGAATATTCGACTTTAAGGCTTATCTATAATGCGCTAGCCGATTAAGTAATCGGGTATGGACTCAGCAGCTACGGCAGGGCCTACAAGACCTACCTTAATAATATTTACAACTTACAGTTCAAAATATTAAAGACGATAGCACCGAGGGTCTATAAAAATTGCAATAGTAAACATGAGTTATTTGAAAAATGCAAAGTAACCCATATCTTCAATAAATTTTAACTTTGTTTATTTATGCGAAGAAATAGGTCATATCCAAGAATTAGAAGTCAAAAAAGACCAGATAATTTAAGACCCCTCCACTATATGCCTAGATATGTCTGTCCCCTTTTAACAATGCTTACGGAAAACGCACACGAAATCATCTATTGCCCTTGCTTCTGAACGAGTTAGATGAACACACCCACAGTAAACTAATAAAAGATCCGGGAAGAAGCAAGGCAATTCTTAAGCCGTTTTATGCTAAGTAGTTATAGACTATATTTATATATTAGTTAATACAGTTATATTGTTTACCTTTTTTGTATTGTTAATTTTAGTTAATATTGAAGTCTATATGACTCGAGTTGCGGATAAAAAAACCGTTATAACGGTTTAAAAAAAACATGTTTTTAAATTGTATTGTATATTAGTTTTGGTGTACAAAATAAATAAATTTTAACTACAAGTCGATGTTTAAGACGTAAAGTCCCGGAAGACGTAACGTAGTTAAAATTAATTATAAATAAGTTAACTAGCATATTTCGCGTTTCAAACAGTTAAAAGTGTATTATTTAAATGGGTAAAAAGTGAGCTCGTAAATAGTATATTGGACAGAATACCGAATGCCGAATATTTAGTGAGCTTCTGACCGAATATACGGCAAAACTATTCGGTCAGATTTTGGCTCCAAAATTTAAGCAGATGTTGTAAGGTTCTTAATGCAATGAATTGAATATAGGTTCTTAAAAGAAATCGCATATTTGTACTTATCTATACTAATAATATATAAAGCTGAAGAATTTGTTTGTTTGTTTGAACGCGCTAATCTTAGGAACTACGGGTTCGAATTGAAAAAATAATTTTTAGTTGCTTTGAGCATTTATCGGCTTGAGGCTATAAAGATAGCCTATAACCTATATATGCGCTGTGACTAATAGAAGCGAAGCTGCAGCGGGAAATGTGAACAAAACGGGGGACATTTTTCATCTCTGTGGCTTCAGAGGCGTACGCTGCGAAAACGGTTTGAACCCAAAAAATATGTATGAAAGAATTACTCTTCTTTAGATAATTTACTCTTAAGTTATTTTTGTCTTTAATAACTTTAAGCTCTTAAAGACAAAAATGATATTTGATGGCCAAAAAAACGATTCTCGCGGACGAAGTTGCTGACACAGTAAAATGTATAAAGACTCACTGTGGATATGTTTCACGCAAGCATTTTGAATTTTTCTTCGCATTAAGCGTAATTTCCCATTTTCCAACGAAAACAAACTTCTCACGATCTTCGCCATGGCCCGTGTACACTAACAACGCCTGACGTGAATACTTGATCTTATAAGATTGACGAGAACAGTTTTATACCTAAAATCACATCTTTATAAATATATTAATATGGAATTACTGTGTCTTGTTTGTATTAATGTCTGTATTTGTTTAATTTTACGCAATTATTGGCTTAAGAGCAGATGGTTTTTATTTAACGGCGGTGCATAGTTAATTTGGGTAGTAATTTTTGTATTTAAATAAAACACTTTAACGGTTTAAAATGGCGAAATCAAAAAATCCGAAACATCCGAAAAATCCGAAACTTCGGGCCGAAGTTAAAAATCATTTCCAAATAAGTTTAACTAATATATCGCGTTTTAAACCGTTAAAGTGTTTTATTTCAATGTGTACTACTCGCGTAAACTATAGACAGTGTTTAATCAATTTTCGTTTTTGCAAAGCTTAGGTACGTTAAACTCTATAAATTAAAGCTGTCTCGGCGTCGTCCGCGTCCCGTCGTTCTTGCACGTTAATTTTAAAGTCTAGACTTATACTGCCGCGCACTTTTTTAGAGCATTTAAAGAGAAATCATTGATTTCTACATATTGTTTGGGTATCTTGAACCGTTTTCGTAGCGTACGCAACGGAATCCCACGGGAATGAATGATGTTCCCCGACTTTTCGACTAGATAGAAATATATGGCATAAATAGAGAAAAAATTGGACGAGCTCGTTGGTGGAATCAACGGGCTGTGGAGTCGATCCCCTCATGTTACATTTTCTACTCTTTCTATAACATTTAGACTGCAAATCTGAAAATTAAATGGGCGATAGGAACATTGAAATTCCGTCCGTCCACAGATGAAAAAAAAGGGAAGTTTAATAGCTTTAATAGGTTTTAGTCTGAATTTCCCAATATCTAAAGCCAAACAGGTCGACAGCCCCTCTTATTTGGAATATGGCTGGGGTCTTTTACCAGCTCGCATGTCCTCCTCTATGATTAAAAAGTAATAATAAATGCTGGTAAGCGTTAAATTAAAATCGAAACACAGCCAAAGTCGGGTGCACATATGCTATTAACGAATCTAATTAAATTAAATTTAATTGCATACATGTGCCATAATAACATGTCGAAAATAATAAAGTTTTCAAACATTAACGAATCTGTTGTTACAGTATGTGCTATTGTCTATTTATAGAGATATTTTTTGTACAATTTAAAAGTGCGCGACTCTGTAGATTATTATTTTTTCTTATTACATACAAATTAATTTTTATCATTCGTTCTTACGAATGGTATACTCTAAATTAAACATTTCTTTCGGTTTAAAACCGTCAAAAGTGTTTTATTATATAACCTTTACTAAATAATAATATTGACTTAATATACCTAATAGACATTGGTTTTTATATTTTACGATTATTACTAGAGACGTCTTGAAAATACTGTTACATTTATTCGCATGACAAATAAAGAAGAACAGCATATACATATATTCCCTTCTTCGTCCTAAACATTGGCCAACAACTAACATTCTGAAATCTATGTACCTACAAATATTATAAAGCCGAAAAGTTTGTTTTAAAGCGTTAGTTTCTGAAAAAAGATTTTTTTGTGTTGGTTAGATTAATTGACGAAGGGTTTAGGCTATAAAGCATACATTGCCACCGATTGGAAAAATTGTAAACACGGGGAAATTGTAATAATCCCTTAGAGTTTCCGTTGCGTGAGATGCATCAACCGCTCAACATACCCGAAAATATGTATGAAAGAGTGATTCCACTTTAAGTGGTCAAAAAAATGTCAGCGCCAGTATACCTATATCTTTAACTAACTTAAAAGAAAGACAGAATCCGGGCGACGTCGTGGGTAACAGCTATAACTCATAAAGGTGAAGAGGTTTGCAAATAACTATTATGAGCGTTAGAAACAAATTTTGTTAACAATCGTGTACGCGGATGTAGTCGCGGGTCTAGCTAGTATGTATATATTGTTCATATGTTATTTCACATTACGGACATTTTTTTCTAAATAGCATATTACAACATACCTTATATAAATTTATTGAAGAAGTTCCATTTACAACAAAGATTCCCAGCTAATTAAGAAAAGATTCGTAAATTATAATGTTGTTATTATATTACGTTACGTTTGTATGTGTAGACGCAGGATGGCCTTTATTATATTCGTCCATTATTTTTAATAGATGGCGCGTTGGAAGTCAAACACAGTTTTATTACATTGGATGTGATTTTGTAAATGTACGAAAATCAATATGAATATCTTGTTATTACTAGTTGCAGAACTGTAGTTTCAATAAGCATTTCTAAAACAGGAAAGATGACAATAATATAAAGTGATTCTTCGCAGACTTGGTGCGCCGGTGTCGTCCCGGAACCATAGATACGACGCGCCGCTAGAGTGGCTGTCATTAACGTTACCAATAACAAGCATATGTTTTTGTCTTACGCTTAATTGTTATATTGTTTTGTTGACACAAATACAAAGGGTTTATAGAGCTGTGCCCGCGACTTCGTTCGCGTAGTGACTTGACTAGTAGAATTTTTGATTGATTAGGATGTTTATTAATTTATGTAACAACATAGATTGGCTGCGCATTTATCGCAGCCAATCTATGCTGTAAGCCGCAATACTCTTACCTCACATCACTCCTACTCTAACTCCCACTCTCACTTCCACTCCCACTCCTAGTTCCAAAAAGCCAAAGAAGAAAGTTCCATTGCTCTAGCTTCAACCACGACTTTCCATACAAACTTTCACCCTCCTTTTTAACCCCTAAATAAGGTATAGTAAATATAGTAGCCTATGCCTATAAATTTCATTGAAATCCGTTCAGTAGTTTTGGCGTGAAAGAGAAACAGAGATACAGACAGACAGAGTTTCTTTCGCATTTATAGTATTATAGTAATGATTTCTCATATTTTTCTCATATTTTGGAAGCAACCGAGCGGGAAATTAAAAATCGCAAGTAATTGGCCGAGGTACGGAAAATCTTCAATTAACAGTTGAGAATAATAGCCACAGATAAATATGGCAAAAGAACAATATAAAAATAATCAGAGGGAATTAATATATCTAGACTTTGACGATGACTGACAGCAACAATAACTGAGAAATACTGTCTTTTTTAATATACCACAGACCTATTCTATTCCACTTTTCCACGATTCTAATTCCACTTTTGATAAAATCTTCGCATATACATGTCGTCTACCGCAATTAATTTCGCTTTAAAATATTGCTAGTGTCGTGTAAAAAAAGGCTTAAAAAATTATATTCAAGGAGTGCCAAATAAAAGTTTTGATGTGAAAATTACAAAGTATTCTCGCATATAACATATTTCTGTGTCTGTTTCCGTCTCCCCGTGACCACGGCTGCTGCAAAGCATCCGAAACGTCGGGCCGATGTTAAAAATCATTTTCAAATAAATTTAACTAATATATCGCGTTTTAAACCGTTAAAGTGTTTTATTTAAATGTGTACTACTCGCGTAAACTATAGACAGTATTTAGTTATAATCTTCGATAATAATAAGCGACGTGTTTAATTGCGGCGTGTTTTTCGCGCAGTTAATAGACAATAGAACAAAAAATCTCAATTACTTAGTTAATATTATCCTACTAGCTGTGCCAGTGGCATTAAATAATTAATTTCCTTTAACACTTCCACTGTATCTTCGCTTAATCTTTCTCGATATGTTTCAATCAACATAAGAGAATTTGTCAATTGGAACCTGTAGTTCTTGAACGTCCAAACAAACAGACTAACTCTTCAGCTTATATTAGCCTAATTAGTATTTATTTTTGTATGGGAAACGAATTACGCGATAATGACGTCCTTTATAGAAACCGTTCGATTTCTGGTGCATTTTCGGTCTAATGGAACACTAAACTAGACTATACTCTTCCATAAAAGCTTGTCGATAACCCCCACAGCACGAACAAGAGGAGGATTTCATCAGCAAGTTGATGCGTGAGTACAGTAGCGGTGGTCGTAATCGCCTCCACACGCCCGGAACAGACACGTTTGCCTACTAGTAGCTCTTGTTGCTAATAAAAGCAAACAAAGCTATATTTTTGTGGATGTTACCCGCACTAGATGGCACGCAACAGCAGGATCGTTGTAAAACTAAAAATTCCTTTGCAAACAAAAAACTCATCAATTAATGATGAATTTTCCCGTTTTTTCTCACATTTCTCGCTGTATCTTCGCTTGTTTAAGTTACAGGTGATGTTTTATATAGCCTCCCTCGATAAATGCTCTAACACAAAAAAAATCAATTCGAACCCGTAGTTCCTGAGATTGACCGCCTCTGTAGCTAAGTGGTTAAACGTATTGCCTAGCATTACGTTAAGCGCGAGAGGTCCTGGGTTCGAATCCCAGGGAAACAAAAGAATGTTTAGGTCGGGCGGGGCACAGAAGTCTGATCAAATACTTGCCTGTTAAAGAACGGATCAGTGAAAGGGACACAAAAATGTGTTCGCCCCATGCCCCACGAGGGGGAAACGGGATTTCACACAGTTTCTGAGATAAGCGCGTTCATATAAACAAATAAAACACTTTCTATATTAGTAAGTATAGGTTAATCAATTTATTTTTCGTTTATTATTAATTATTTTTGAGTCCCTCTCACAAAACATATAACGTAGATAAAAAAATAGTTGGTATTCGGCCGAATAGTAGCTGAATATTCGATTCAAGTCTAAAACTTACCTTAATTATTATTAGGTCGTTAATATAATGTGATTTTACACGGTTGATAGTTTTGTGGTAAGTCATTGTGAAAGAAAACAATCCTATGTAGAAATATCAAATATAATTATTTTGATTGCTTAATTATACATTTAACGATCGTTTAGTAGGCAAAAGAGGCCTCGGTTTCACACAAGTATTGCGCAAGACCTTTCACTTATTTTGAGGAGGTTTAAATCAATTGTCTCATTACCTACAACCAGACTACGAAAGATATTAGATTCACACAAATCGCGATTAGTCACGATTGTG